AAAAAAAGGTATTCAAATCAAAGTTGCTCGCGGATCGGGGGGGGTAGCAGATTCATAATTTTACACGTAGAAATACTTTATAGGCCTTTGCAGCAGGATCGTAGCGAGCCTTTCATGTCTCGGTGTGCATTGTACTTGTACATGTGTGTACATGTCCGAACCCAACCGATCCGAAGTTTGGCAAAAAATGTCCAAGCCCTGTCTGAACCAAACACATACTTGCAGCACTATTTGATGCGGAGTTTGACATTTTTTTATTACCTTCAAAGAATATGGTACACGGGACAGAAGTTCCAAATAAATTCACATTGCGTCTACGTGAATATTTAATTCCTTTCATAGACGATAGATTAGGCGGTAAAATGAGGCAACCGTGTTTGGCATTCCCTGTCACTCCCATATAAACGCATTTATTTTCCAGTCTAAAAAACGCTTAAACGTGAACAATTATCTTGGGGCGATGCTTTTTTGTCATGAAATACCCACTCAAAACATATCTGAAGCTAGATAAATGTCTGTAGCCTGGAATGCAGTTGATTTTGTGTCTTCCTATCACAAGGTGTTAACCACTAATCCTCAAGGCCAGCCCAGGAAGGCTGACCAGGGCCAATGAAGTTTTGCCTGAATAGGATCTTTTGTTCACAACCATGGCTGCGTAAGCCACAAACTCCATTGTTGTCAGGGTTGCTAGTGAAGCTAGACAGTCCAGGGCAGACGGTTCTTTTCAAACCGTTGAACTGTCCAACACCAAAAGACGAACGGAATGAAGGGGGATTAACACCAACCGTTCAGCTGTTTCTAAACCGTCTGTATTTTGACCTCACGCCTTAGGTCTAGCTATAAAAACTAGACAAGTCGCAATAGTTTATTGTTATTGTTTGAAGCCCTCCAATGAATGTTAAATGGATATGTCATCATCTTTCAAGTCAGTGTGGCGATTTCTTCAGGATATTTTTTCTAGTCACAATTGAAGAAGGGACTGTTCTGGAAGGTTTAACCACTACCAGCCGGGGACTCCGAAATCTGAGCCGTATGGTTTATATGTGTGGNTACGATAGATTAGGCGGTAAAATGAGGCAACCGTGTTTGGCATTCCCGTCACTCCTATATAAACGCATTTATTTTCCAGTCTAAAAAACGCTTAAACACGAACAATTATCTTGGGGCGATGCTTTTTAGTCATGAAATACCCACTCAAAACGTATCTGAAGCTAGATAAATGTCTGTAGCCTGGAATGCAGTTGATTTTGTGTCTTCCTATCACAAGATGTTAACCACTAATCCTCGCGGCCAGCCCAGGAAGGCTGACCAGGGCCAATAAAGTTCTCCCTGAATAGGATCTTTTGTTCACAACCATGGCTGTGTAAGCCACAAACTCCATTGTTGTCAGGGTTGCTCATGAAGCTAGACAGTCCAGGGCAGATGGTTCTTTTCAAACCGTTGAACTGTCCAACACCAAAACACGAACGGAATGAAGGGGGATTAACACCAACTGGACAACTGTTTCTAAACCGTCTGTATTTTGACCTCACGCCTTAGAGATACTAAAACCAGTCTCGTCTCTGTTTGGCAAAATGTATCTAATAGTTACAGCAAATTGTACATTGATTTAAGTTGTGCGTTGGTTAGAGATACTAAAAGATAAACCCAGGCATGTCACTGTTTGGCAAAATGTATCTAATAGTTGCTACAAACTTGGGAAAAGCACTTTGCGAGGAAAACTTTAAACAGTAATTTCAAAACTATTTCAACATTATCCTTTGTTACACATTTAAATGAAAGCCAAAAGTTTAAAGTATACAGGAAAAAAGTTAGTAAAACAGATGAGAATTAAACTGCTTTCATTTTATTCTTTTTCTCAGACAGAAAACTACCCACCGACGTGAAGGATGATATTGCACTTTAAGTTTTTTCGTCACTAGCATGACTTGCAACTTCTTGCAATAAAAAAGCATATTGCCCAGTGGGCTTTTTTCTGCAAAGAGTATTTGAAGATAAATTTAGAAAAACGAACTGCCAGAATGCTTTTCTGTGAAGAGTTTTGGGAAGCTAAATTTAGAAAAGTGAACTGCCAGTCGGCTTCTCTGGAAAGAGTTCTTTGAAACTAACTTTACCAACAGAACTGCACTTGTGTCTTCTGCCGTGTTTGGGGTTCGTATTCCCGCACCACAGCATAGAAACACATTATTTTTTATTTAAAAAATTAAGTATGAAATTAAAAAGACAATGGCTCAGTATTATGTACTTCCACATTTAGAACAACAATATAATTTGTTGAATAAAAAGCCTCCACTAGAAGCGTTTGTGAAAGTGAAAATAAAAGAAGACAGTTGTAAACATGTCAATAAAAGGATAAAAAATGGATTTGTTAATTGTTTTGATTTTTGTAAAGGACTACAGCCTCATGCAGACATTGAAGCTGAGAACATGGGGGTCAATACAATCAGCATTTTGTTTTCAAAAAGCCAAAGTCTGAAACAAACAAAGTCTTACATCAACAATACAATTGACAAAAGATCAAGCGGGCCGCACAAAACATAATGTGACAGCTCATTTACATATCCCTCCTGGGCAGCGCCCTCGCTTGACCCTTGAGGTAAATCTCAGACTTAGCCTTTGTCTTGTAATGGGGAAAAATGGCACACTTCAAATAAGAATTAAAAAAATAAAGAAAAGACTTGAAGAAAATAAAACACTAAGGGAACTCGCTAAAAAAATACTTTCAATAGGATCAAAAAAGGGAGGAGTCGCAAGAAGTCTAAAAGAACAGGGATGCGGAAGCTGAAAGTTGATTCCAACAACAACAAAATCTTTTATTTCTTTTAAAAATATCCCCCCAAAAAAGGAAAGTAATTGAAAAACTAAAAAAACCAGGACTGTGTCAAAAATCAGATTTAAAAATATTCACCCAAAGACTTGAAAATCTAGCCAAAACAATTGCAGAAACAAAACTTAAAATTTAGGAGAAATATGACCAAATTTTAGAAATTAGACCAATCCTAAACCAAAGTAAACCCACCACAGAATCAAGATAAGGCTTAACCAATCTAAAACAAGACCAATCCAAACTAAAAGAAAAAAAAACAAGAACCAAAAAAACCAACACAGCACCTAAGAAAAGTTACA